GTTTGTACAGCAGGGTGATGATGGCGCTGTGTAGATAAGGGGAGGCAAGTGAAAGGAAGGTGCAGGAAGATGGGGGGTCAGGGGAAGCACAGCCAGTTGGAGATGTCTAAAGCGTGGTGGGGTTACTGGTGGCACACAGCTAAGTGGAAGTAAGGAAAGGAAGAGATGGGAAGGTGGGGAAGGGCAGTTGGGGTGGTTTGGTTTGTACAGCAGGGTGATGATGGCGCTGTGTAGATAAGGGGAGGCAAGTGAAAGGAAGGTGCAGGAAGATGGGGGGTCAGGGGAAGCACAGCCAGTTGGAGATGTCTAAAGCGTGGTGGGGTTACTGGTGGCACACAGCTAAGTGGAAGTAAGGAAAGGAAGGAGTGATAAGATTAATGGAGGAACAGGTGCGTAGGCCACATGGAAAGGGAGGGGAAAGAGGAGCACGGTGCACCAGCCTTGCCCTACTTGCATTATAAGACTCCTCCAGAGTTCTCTCAGCCAAAACCCTGAACAACCAAGATGTTCCAGGTTTTTGTTTTGCCAGACTGCAAAGCCCTGCCCCCAGAATGGTCTGCCTGAATTTCCAAGCCACAATGTGTTTGTTCTATGCACAGAAGAAACACATTATTCATTTCATGCATGCTTTATATCTCTGGGTATATTTTAATGACTTTTGTTTACTTAATTGATTATGCATTTTGCTACTTTTATGCTGCTTTGATCATCTTGCTGAAAAGGCACAGCAATATACATACATACAATATGAGTTGTACAGCATAAATACCTCTGGTCTCCTGAAACATACTGTAACACTAAAGATCATCTGATACAGACTTCAGCTTAACCGAGTACTTACTAGGTGGCTTGAAACAAGCCACATTCCAGCCTCGGTGTCTTACTTCCATCTGCAATAGAGGGAATAAAATACCAGCCTACCTTTCAGATTCTCTGCCCATAGAAAACATGCCATATAATATTATAGTCATATGAAAGTATCCTAAAATATCAACCAATTTAAGATAATCAGTTGGTTTCTTAATTAGCAGATGGGCACACTTCTGGAAACATCATTGGGCAAACCTACTGATTTTCTATCTTCCGGTTTATGCAGGGCCCTCAGACATTTTTATAAATACTGATGATTCTAGAGTCTGGAGTTCTTTAATTTCTTTTTTTTCCTTTCAAGAATATAAAGAAAATTAAGTAAGGCATGGAACAGAAATTGGTAGGTGAAAAGATAAATGTCTACAGGCAGAGTGGTGCCTATCAGCACCACTTATCTATTTCTGATGTAAAATAAAGTGATCTCCTATAGTTTTTTGGGGAGGGGGTAGAAGCACTCCCTATTTAACCCATTAATCTTTTTAGGAAATGCTCTGAAAATTCAAAATGGACATACAGAGAAAGGACCATGGTTCTCGCATTTCTGGGAGCTGATATACTGTTAAATGAAGGTCCCTACTATACTGAGAAATGTTTACAATACGTGGATCATGAAGAAGGAAGAGCTAAGAAATGCAACAAAGCAGAACAAAATGGCAACAGGAAAAAGCCATGGCTGTCATACGCACTTGTGATTCTGGGAAAATGGCATGCAGAGGATGAAATGGATGAAGATGATGTTGGGGATGATGAAGATGAGATGATCTCATTTAAGGTCTCTGGCTTTATCCAGTATGCACGGGTATCCCGTTTACCTTTCTTGCTAGAGCAGCTGACTTCACACAGGAAAACATCTTCACAGTTATCACTCTGTAATCGCTCTTTCTGGAGCAGCTTGTCCACCCTCTGGATAATGCATTCAAGACTTTTGTCAACATTCACCCAGACTTTTTCCTGGGAAGGAACAAACAGGAAGGGATCAATGACACACTTGTGTGCCAAGTATAACGAAAAGGCCTAAAGAAAGAAGTACAGTATGTTGAAATAATATTTTCAAAAAGCTATTTTCACTGCTATCAGTAATTTATAGAAAGCACATCCATAACCTGAAAAGAAATAACATACTAAAAATTTCTATCTATGTTTTAATTGGGCAACAGGGTAAAATAACCGCAGAGTCATTTTCTGCTGGACAAAACTGATCCAAACCCTATCAGCTTGTATACTACTTTCCATTAAATATTTGGGAAATCATCACATTTCCAAGACATTTAGTTTCTCCTTTTTTACAGGAAACTCAAAAAATAGAAACAGAAGCAGAGAGAGAGAAATGAACACCCCTGGCTGGGTTCACAGACTGTTTTAAGTCACCATGTAGTTTGTTTATTTCAAGGGATGCATGACCTCAGCTGCTGAGGTTCCTACGCTCACTATATATGAACCCAACTATTGTGACTTGTTCCAGGAACTATACTTAAATCAGATGATGACTTATTGTGATGCATGACCTGAACTACTCTTTAAGTGATTTGGTTATACTAATGAAAATGTAGAGTTCCTATCAATACCAAAGAAAGTTTCAAAGCTTAGTTATCTTTTGATTAAAAAACCCAATAAGGGGATATGACATAGGATTACATATCAGGTTTAAAGGATTGAAAAAGGCAATGCTACAATGTACCAGTTTTTCTCTAATTTAACTTAAAAGACAACAAAAAACACTTTCACTTTCCCAAGCATCCAGCTGATTTATAACCCTCTAATTGTTTTATATTCCACAATGGACAAGTCTCCTCTCCCAGTGCAGCAGCCTGTTACAGAAGTGCAGGAGACAAACCTTTTCCCCCTCTAACTTTTAGCTCAAGGCCATTCCATGTCTGGATACTTTACCATATGTCTGTACCTCTCCATGTTTCTAAATACTTAAAGTACTCCTATTTAGAGTTAAGAAAAGGTCTTCCAGAATTTATTGGCAATTTTCTCTCTCTCTTAGCCAGATGAACTGGCAGTTGGCCTGGAGCCAGCTGGTGACTCTCTAACAGGTACACTTGACCTTCCTCTCTTCCATCTATCTTCTGGCACCCCACTAAGCCATTTGCACTAGTTAGTAGTTTGTCCTATGGTGCTTTTCCTCTTCAGTGATTCTTTTCCTGGTCTTTCCTTCAAACACTTCATGGACTTGTAACTACTCATGAATTAATAAGCTTTCAATAGTACAAACCCTATTCTAGGATCACTAGCCAGCCTTTAAAACCCATAGTTTATTTTCAACAACTACTGGAGGTGTCTAAGTCCATGTTAGCCACTTTAGTTGCCAGCCATCACCTCCATTCCCACGTTTTCCCTTCCCATCAATCTCCTGGGTGTTTAAGAATCTGACAACTCCATATCCACCACCCCTCCTTTTCCTATGAGCACTGTGTTCTATGAGAATCCACACAATCTTCTGTTCCCAACTCCTTAGCAGCAAAGCTTATCATAAAATTAATGTTAGAGGTCCGAGTATTGCAATATACATGGCCAACTTAACAATCTTAACTTCCTCACCCTCTGTTTTCTGAAGAAAATGTTCACACAGATATATCACTATATCCCATGGACTTCAATGGATGGCTCAAAGGGCCTTCCAGAGATTCTGCTGGAATGGATAAACCGAGGGTTCCAGAGCACCCAAGCACCTTCCAATAGTGATTGCAAAATTGGGTGCATGGATTTCTACCATTTTTGTAGTGGGGACATGACAATTGGAACACAAGCTCTAAAACAGGCTTAATATCATTTATAACTACTGTGACCATACATCCTTTATTATAAAGGGCAGTCCTTTATTTCAGAAAGCTGTCCTTTAGATGTATTTAACTTAATTATTTATTTTCTTGGTTTTGCTCTTGAGTTTTCCTTTGTAAAGGAAAGTTACAAACCTAAACACTTAATTTTTTATCCTTATGAACCTCTTTCAGATTTGCCTCTTTTTCAGGTTTGTCCTTTATTTTTTCCATATACGGTCACTGTATTTATAACACAAAGGAAAAAAAAAAACTCACCTCAACCCAGAAAAAGATGCAAAAATCCATGCTATGTTCACTGTGCATCACTGATTAACGCCCACCACCCCTTTTGCTCATTCAAAACATTTTAAGCATAGTCCTTAGCCTCCAAAACATGACCAAATGTCTGGCAGCTGTAATCTTACAAAAAGGGGGTGTCTGAATTAAGACTCACTGTAGTATAGGAACAGAATCTTAAGACCACAGCCTACCCACTCTTCTTCATGCCAGTCCACCTGTAGAGAAGAACGGCTATTTCTTCCTGTCCACCTGGCCACCAGAGTATCTTGGTCATTTCTTAGCACCACTTGTTCTCCCTCTGTAGATGTTGGAGAGGCCTTTGAAGCTATATAATCTGGTCTTGCAGCATTCAGAGCATGAATTGAATTTGCCAACAACTTGCAGTCACAGACAGTGACAAGCTGCCGGGTCTAGAAAGGATAACGGTTATACACAATATTTGTAAACAATGTCTATTTTATAACATCATCATCTTTAATACTGTTCAAGACCAGCACAACCTAAGTTAAAACAACCCCAGTACAATAAAAAATATGACATTTTTATTAACAGTTTAATACATGGTGTACTTCTCTTAACAAATCTGAACATGATTTAGCCTTATGGCTAAGGCACAAAACTTAACAAGTGAAAAGGTAATTTTAGGCCACTTAAAAACTTCTAGGACATTTAAAAAAAACCTTCTAGGTATCACTGACTGAGGCAGCCAGGCAATCTTTCCATTAGAGGGCAAATTGAGAGCATAGTTCTACATAGAATTTACATCTTAGACAAACATATTCTAAGGTGTTTATTTTATAACTATTTCTATAGTATTTCACTGTGAATTTGATCTCAATCTGCATTCAGTGAACTGATTCATCCACCACACTAAGCTGTAATTTTTCTTTGGTGATAGCTTACTATGTTGTATAACCTAGGCATTGTGGCATATAACCTGCATTTGATAGTAAGTTGTGTGGATCCAGCCAATTATGGCTTATTTAATAAACAATGTTAAAAGAAACTAGGTTTAGTGTCATGTGTGAACATAGTCTTTGCACAGCAAGAAAATATAAAGCCAACATGATTAGCTAGTGGGAGGTAGTCAGCACTAAGATGGATACCATTATCTGCAAAAATGGAACAGGGCCATAAAGATCTTTCCCACAGAATATTTTAATTAGCAATTTGAATAATGTTGCTTTAAGCATCACCAAGATTTATGATATTAGAAACAGAAATCAAATTTTAGTGAAAGGTCAGGGAAGGAGAATTTCAATAGAATTACAAACCCAACCTTTTTGCCTCAGGTCTAGTCTGTTTCATCAGTAGGATTTAAAGCAGGATGGAATGTATTAGATCAGGTATAATGAAATACAATAAACATATATGCTGAGTTCAAAGAGGTTTAGTGCTCAATACTGACCATTCAATGTAGGCCAAATAAAAATAAAAAGATCATGTAGCCCTTTCAGAATTCTCAGGTTCTGGCAGGTGTCCAGAGAAGGAAATTCAACAAGTGCAAGAATTTCTTGCTATTCTTACAGTATAAGCATAATATTCAGTTGAAGAGAGATCACAAAATGGAGCATAGGGATGACTGAACAAATTCCCTACCTTATCTGCCAAAATGGCAAGCGTTCTTTCAAGTCCATTGGCCGATTTATCTTTGGCAGCTCTGGAAAGTCTTTCTGCATAGTAACTAACTTGAGTTTTCAGGGTATTGATCTGTGCAATAATCTCCTTTGCTCGAACAATATCCTGCGGTATGTACACTATAGACTGGGAATTGGTTGCAGTGCTGAGGACAGGGGAAAAAAGAGTAGTTTAAAAAAATTAATGGAAGATATTGGTTTGGGGTCCTGTTCTAACTATCAAGCCACCAAATACAAAGACTGACAACATACTATGTTGCAACCATCTTATTCAAACTATCTTGAGATGCACACGATGAAAGCATTTGAACAACATGTATTTATCAAACATGCCATGTGATTACTCAGAAGCCACACAAGAAAGAGAAAACAGCCCAATCACACAATACAGCGATAACAGAATTATTCTGGTTAATCTGATCCTTTGCCTAAGCACAATTTAGTCATTCAAATGGATATCCGATCCATTTGCCTTCAAAGATCTCCAGATTCACCTTAGAACATATTACTGCTATGTTATCCTCTCCATAGTCATGCTATTGTCACAGATGATTGAAGTTTTATATGGTTTTGTTTTCAATCTTGCCAATTTGAGAATTCTGGCTTAATAAACCCAGATTTGCACTATTATACATGATTAGGTAAACCAAATATAGCTCAAGATGCATTTATAGTAAGGCCTAGTTACTTAACTTCACTTTCCCTCCATACTGTTTTTGCAAATCCAGATATATGGTCTGCTATATATTGTTGCTGGAGCACCATCATCTTAAAGGTTCACACGATGTGCCTGGCTTGTTGGAAAGGTAAATATGGAGTCTACTTCCTTTCTCTCACAGATAGCTTCCTTCCAGTGTCCCATTGCAGACTGTAGATTTCCTGCTGCCAGTTACCTGATTCACTCACAGCAAAATAGATTTATTTAAAAGAACTCTTCCACATTGCATAATACGATGCTTCTGAAACAATGTAAGTTTTCAGAAGCAGCTTCCAATATAAAAATGAAGCAGAGAATTGTCCAAAAATGTTTTTGATGGTATGGATGTTGTGGCAACATCTCTTTCTTGTAACAAACTTTAAAACTCTAGCTTTAAAAGAATATAGCTAATACTTTAAAAGCTATTTACAAAATTTAAAAAAAAAAAAAAGCTTTGCTGAACTGACTGGAAAAATACTAGAGGAAAGGATCTAGAATGTAATAAAAAAATGGGAAAAAGTGAAAAGTAGATTTTTTTTATTTAAAAAAAGAACTTCAAAATTGTTGTAAGGTTTTCCTTTAAAAACGTGATACAGATTGCTTATTTTAAGGACAGATCTTCTAAAAGGATAGGCTTTTAAGTATTCTTATCAACTTACAGCGATATACATCTTATCTGAGTGAGAGACATCATGCAGAATCAAATTATATGCAGTAGCAAACTACATGCAGCATTATTTGTGTTAGACTCATATTCAAAAGGAAACAAAGCAAATCTTTTGCCGAAATCAAAGGAAATAATTTGATCAGCTTCCCAGAACCATTCTCCAAAATGAACAGCTATCATCCTTCACTGACAACTCTAACTGGAAAATGAACGTTTATCCATTTCCCCCCCCATAAGACTACAAAGGTAGCAATTTTATTTCTTTTTAAATTTAGGACTAAGTAGACTAAAGCAGTCCAGCTTTAGCGATTAATGGTCACCATCTTACAAATGTAAATGTGTAGTTCCACCGAAACAAAGGCCATTTAGTCTAGTGCTTGGAAGCGCCACCATGTCAATTCATGGGCATGGATGAAAGTTTTCTGTCATATTTGATCCAAATCTATATAAAGCTCTTGCATAAAGAGGTGATCCCACATCTTAAAGTGGTGGAAATAGACCTTTGAAGTCACCACGTGCACAAAATGAGTAAGTCAGCCTTTGTAGAGGCACGTATTCAGAAAAGCTACAGCTAAGTTCCTTGCTGCCCCCACGGGACAAACAGGAGAAATATCTAGTCACCACAGTCTAAACATATCCTGAGACCCAGAACTTTCTCTACTGTGTGGGCTCACTTGGTAATGTGGTTAAATGTTTTATCAACATTGTACCACCCACCCACAAGTATCTGAAGAAGAAGGCCAATGGCTTCTAGGCAGGATGAGATAATACGAAGGCATTTTGATCCTCAGCACTGCACTTTTTAACAAAATAAGCCAGGTGCCTATCATCTCCCTCTTCAAATAATGAAACACTTCTTAAAACTAAGCCCAATAAGAAACATTGTCTCTCCTAAAAGGAAAAGTATTCAAACAGTATCTGATCATTTTAAAATTTTAATGACGAGCAGTCACAAGTTTAATATTTCCAATTGTCTCCTAAATTGGCCTGTATAACCCAAAGGTGGTTTTTAAATGTTAGCTGTTCATTGATAAAGCAAATAATGCAAGTGGAAATAACAAATTCATGCCTATGAAACACCCCAGTAAATATTTATTTAATGAAGCAAATTAGCAAAAGTCAGGATACAAATATAAAAATACCCCGTTAGTGCAGTCTGCTTTAGAAAAAGAAGAAAGCTGTACTACGAAACTCAGAAATAGAAAACTCACCAACTTTCCTCAAAACTGCTAAAAAAAAAAAGAAACCAAAAGAAAATTAGCCTTTAATTTGTTAGCAAATAGCAAAAGCCAAATGATGTTAGGTAAATGTTAATTGCTTTAATGCTTCCTAATAATATTGCTTGTATCAAATAGGCGAGGAAAACAAAAAGTATGCAAAATGGTAGATGTCTCCTAGAGAGCTATAGTTACACCTGACACATAGAACACATATCTATTTTTACAGAACGTCCAGCAAATCCCGTAATGAACTGGACCCCCTCCCTGACTGGCCCTCTGCCATTCCTTCAGAGATCCTCAGTCTCATTTTCCAACCAAAAAAATCTAAGATAGAATGGAGATCCCAGGCCTGGGTTCAATCTATCAAGATGTTCCAAAGGTAGAATAGTCCAATCACCATTCCAATGTTTTAAATGGGTGGTAGGTCCAAGCCAGCCAATTAGTCTATTAAGTATAATAAGCAAACTACTGTATATGCTAAGCATCTCTTCTCAAAATTGATGGACTGGATGATTCAAGAAAAGATTTTAATCACAGAATGGGCCAACTGGAGTAAAATGTTGGCATGCATGCTAGTTAACTGTGTTTCTTATTGTCATTCAAACATAACCGCTATGTCTGAACACATAAAGTATATCTTTGTTTTAACTGTAACCAATTTTTTAGTGTAAAGCTTGAATTGGTATTTCAGCAATGCATGGGGCAGTTTCCAGGACTCAAAAAGAACGAAGAGGCTACTTTTGTAACACTAAAGCACACATTCATGCTCTACACAAATGTTTCTCAACCTTGGCAGCTTTAAGATGTGTGGACTTCAACTCCCAGGATTCCCCATGCTGGCTTTGGAATTTTGGGAGTTGAAGTCCACACATCTTAAAGCTGCCAAGGTTGAGAAACACTGCTCTAACAGAATGCATTCGGTATTAAAAGCATACTGCACTCCAGTAGTGCATATATTACAACAAATGTTTGAATAAATAGCAGTGTACAGTAGTTAAAAGTCACTGCCATAGTCACTAAAATATAATGTCAGAATGCCCATTTTATAAAAATGCATGGCTACATTTTATATGCCCATTAACCAAATGTCTAGGTCATTCAGTTATTTTTTGTACAGTTGCTATTAGCCTACCTATTTGATTCGGTTTCTTTGAATGTAATCAAATTTTGTTTTATTGTTTGTAAAACCTGCTGTAACCAATCATATTGATTATTTAGCTGTTGTTGCTTATTTTATCTTCTTTTATTTTTTAAGGTTTCATTTTTAGCTTTTGAAGTGGGATTCTGGTAATTGACCATAATAAAGGACTGACTGATCTCAGAATGGAATTTCATTTGATATGAAAAATTAAGTTCAAAATTCCACCGTGGCCGTGATTCATTGGTGGGCCTGGCCATACTTGGTCACAGTGCCCACTAATGTAAGAGATGAATGCAAAAATGACATCTTACAAGATTGTCGTAAAGACCAAATTTGCAGACAGATCTGGGTAGCATATGAAAAATACTACACTGATTTAAAAAAAAAATAGTAGCAATTGATATGGCAACCAACAAAAGAGACATCATCAAATCATAGGTTGACTGTGATATTTTCTAAACAATTTTCTAAACATTTTTTCCCATCTAAGGGAAAATTTACACATGGTAAATCTGGCACTTTTTTCTGTAGCTGTTATTAAAAGTGATACATGTAACATAGGCTAGAAATAAGTAGTGTTTTAACATATGAAACTAAAATAAATTACAGATGAGAGGTATCAGCCTAAATTTACTTCTGACTTACTGACTTTAGAACAGCCACTAGAAAGAATTTTGCTATTTATTGGGCCAAGTTCTCTTGACGGAAAACTGTATCTGATCTGGCAGCGAGAGCAAGCATTTAAAGCAACAAAGTTTTAAGAATCAGTCTAGAATAGTCCAACAGATGATTTTGTTCATGCCACGTTCCCTCTCTTTTTAGATTAAGAACATAAAGGCAATACAGACAAAGCAGGATGGCTTTACCCCTGAAAATAATAGAAAATGATACATTCATGAAACAATAGTGTGTTAAGGCCTTTAAGGACCTTCCTGGATATTTTTCATCAAACTTCTTTAGCCAAGATACCCTGCACTTTAACAGAATCTGCAGGGTATCAACGTTTAATGAGCTTAGTAGTTTCAATGTTTGCATTTTTTATTTTGGTTAAAATCCCTGATATCCAAAAGGAACTGAAGGCTAAACTAATTCCTGTGCTCATTGCACCAGCAGCACTAGCACTTATTTCAAATCAGTTAAAGGTCTAGTGTATCCACGTGGCCTCTTTTGCACCCACTGCTGTATCATTTAAATTCCCTTCCATCTAGAAAGTAGGAAAACTGCCTAAGAATGTTTTCAGGTTTCAAATAATTTCATATAAAGCTTCCCAACTATTAAGGTTATCTACTTGACCCCTTTCTCCATCTATGGTTCTGATTACCAGAACCACAAGATTATGGTATCAGCGTCTCTGGGTTACATCATACGGGAATGATTTATACATCTCATAGCACCTGACTGCAGGTGTTTTAGACTTCCCCACCTCTCTTTCCTTTTGGACATGGAATCATTCATCTCAATAGCAAAAACACAGAAGAAAAGTAAAGCAGAAATGTGTTCTGTCTGCTCTTGAATAAGTAACATAGTAAAGGTAATGTCACTGAATTGAACTCGACTCCTGGTGATTTCATGGCCACATCCATGTAGTTTACTTGAAAAAGTACAGAAGAAGTTGTTTAACTTTGCCTTCTTCCAAGATGTTTCTCTCTTAAAAAAAAAAAAAAAACAGTCTAGCCTACAGACTGGTATTTTCTGGCCAGTCTCTCATCGAAGTACTAAACAAACAACCCTCCTTATTTCTAAATTTAGACAAGGTTAGCAAGGTGCTGACACCTCTTGTGATAGTGGCCCAAAAGATCTTCAAATGGGGAAAAAACAACAGCATCAGGAACAGAGAGGGACCTGGAAGGAAGTACCTCTTTCAAAATTCAGCAATTCAGGTCAAAGAGTTCTGCACAAAATTTCAAGGGAAGTCCTTAACCCTACCACAGCCAATAAATTGTTGTATATCATTAAACAGGAAAATCTGCTAAAAGCTGAAATACTTTGATTAATTTAAAAAGGGAAACCATTCTTCTAAACTCTTCACATAAGGCATCTCTAATCGTTATTTGGTTGAAGCTTTCTATGAACGGGTAAAAGAGAAAAGAAGGAATGGCATTCTGTTTTTTTACAAAACTAGAGTCACAAAAAGGGGTGTACGTTCAACATGCCACTTACTGTTTCTTTGCATCTTCAAATTTATGAAGCTTTTTCCGCAGACCTCCAGATTTAAAGCCCTGGCAGTGAGCTGCTGGTGCTCCTATAGTTACAATGTCATAATTCTCATCTAAAGAATGCAAATGAGAGGGGAAAGGATGCAATAAGAATTCCTGTAATCTTGTCTTAGAATGCAAATATGCAAAAAATCAATTACATTTTAAAGAACCAGCTAGACCTTCTATTAAGCCTGTAAACACTTAAAAAATGCTGAGAATTGCATTAACTTATCTTTAGATCTAGTATATGTTCAAAGTGGCATTTCTGCATCGGTTATTTCTAGTAGAGGAAATTCCTTATAACAAGTATGTCAAGAACCAATAAATATATGAACTGCATCATTTTCCATTCTATTCAACTATGTGCCATTTCTTGCATTTTTGTTATAAGCCATGGGATATCACTGGAAATACATGACCATAAAGTGTGAGAACTGTTCACTGCGTAGATGCCCAGTCATGTGGACAGTCTCCATGTCTACAGCAATACCTGCCGAGAATATAAACATTAGGACATTCTTCATTTGATCTTGGAATTATGTAAGAGAACTTTGTTATTTCATTAAGAAAAGTCAGCAGCTATGGATAGCCATTCTAAATCAACCATTCTCTATAGGGTACTCAACGGAGAAGATGGCTACACATGAACATTTCTTTGCAAAGATAGTCACTTTCTTCCATTGGAAAGCATGCACAATTATTAGAGGCCTATTCTGGCAAAAAGTTTAATTTCGTTAAACAGTAAAAAGATGTGTTAAAATAGTGTGGTGTAGTCCAGGGATTTTCATGACTTGAATAAGAAGTGGACAGACAATTTAGAATTTACTGGGATATTCCATTTTCCCCAAATGAAAAGCAGAATAATATAATTTTTAAATGGCAAAGGCCACAGAAAGCCACAGTTAATAAGTATCATTGTTTAGGAAAATATTAAGTAGTATCAGTATCTCTCAAATAAGATCCCAAGATTTCCTGCCAAGTACAGGTGTCCATTTCTTGGTGTGCAAAGGTTTTCTCAACCTTCTTTATTCATCATGTTACAACAAAAGCCACTTGCTCTAGACAGAAAATATCCACTACGCTTCTAGCCTCCTTATTCAGAGAACAAAACATACAACCCTTCCCCCATTTCTCATTTTCTTTGTCCAGCTACTAAGAGAAACAAGAACTACACAAAAGGCAGTCCTAACCTACATGAGCAAAAGATGCACAAGACCAGAAAAAAAACATTTTCTTTAAAAAAATAAACAACAAGTGGGCTCTGTACAGCACAGGGCATTCCTACTCAGGGGTCTAGCCAGTCAAGAACATATTCCATTTCTTGCCCATTCGGTTCAGAAGTGTACCAGACATGCTTAATTTTCATTAAGCCCTAAAGATTTTTTTACCCCTGAAAACTTATATGTAGCATGCTGCTAATGAGAATAAAGATTCACATGTGGAGAACTAAGTTTGCTAATAATATATAAAATATGTTAAGAAGCATAAGGATACCTGATCCTGCATCATCCTGGACTCTCATTCGCTGTATGTGTAAATTTGTGGGCATGAATTCAAGCTTTTTATCACCTTTCAGACTACTTGCTTTGAATGATGGTCCTGGAGAAATTCATTGAAAAGCATCATTTCACTCCACAGAAATATAATAATTAAGGAAAAGTGATCACAAAGAACAATACCAAAATGATAGTTAAATAGATCAGCAACTATATTTCCTATAGTCAGAATAAAGAATCATGCTCCCAATTCTGATCCTCACAGGAAACTATTGGGGTGTCATTTCTTCTAAGCTTGTTTGCTTAAAGGAAGATAGACTTGCTCCAGGATGTTGTAGCTAATGACCACCAATACAATTTCTTAAATTACATAATTATGTTTCCAATCAAAGGAAATATACGTAGCTCAGGGTTGAACCGTGCAGTTCTTGGTGCTCTCTGAGCTTGGTTGTTTGCTTGCAGAGGTTTCATTACCCAACTAGGCAACATCATCAATGCAAGTAATTATGTTTGTATTCACTGAATTGTTCACTGCAATCTTAGTTCATTCTCTGACGTTTTCCAAGCTTGAAATGCAGTAGGAATATAGCCTATGCTTTTCAGATCAAAGAACCTCTATCCAAGAGTTTACAATATATCTTTTTATTGGAAAAGTAAAAATAGCTGATATGTTGCTTTCAAGAAAGTAAATGGAGAAAATAGACCATCAGAAGACACTGTTTCAATGTTATCTATAGAGTATTACAGGACCACAGACATGCAGAATGCTTTTCTAAAAATGATTGCAAGAGTGTGAACATAATTTTAGAATACGTTAAGGCTTTTTAAATTGTTTACCACATAATAACATTACATCTTAAAGGTTTAGTTAGAGGACAAATTGAAAGATTGCCAAATTTCATACTTTGTTGGCTCTGAGATTTTGCTTACAGGATTAAAGCTTACGCAAGCAAGGCATTTCTTTGCCACAATACCCATCCCTCCTTCTTGTGACTACTTTAAGCTTCATTTCACAGTCAAAGCCTTTAATCTCTTGATTTTCCTTTCTTATTGTCTGCTTTCCCTTTATTTTAGAGTAACATAGTTTTCTCATAAGTATTTCTATCAAGCCTGGCAAAAGCTAACATTCAAAGAGATCTTCAGAATCACCAATTTAATGACAAATCAGACTGATATCAGTCACTTTGTATGATTAATGGCTAAGCATCAAATATATATTTTATTACAATGGCAAAAGAGCCACATTAATGGCAAGTCCAGATCAGTCCCCACAGCTATTTTCTCCAACCATTTCTTCTTCAACTGAACTCCAATACCAGAAGTGGCCTTAGATGGGTAAAGTATGTTTATAAACTGCCACCAGAGTGAGATGTAGTAGGCTTCATTATAATGTTCAGCATCCCTCACTTGTGTTCCTCTTTTCTTTTTTAAGTAAAATTGAACAAGTCCTGTGCCTTTAGAACAATACTGTAAAGACATTCATGCATCTGTTCCTGTCCCATCTAGTTTAGCAACAAGGTGCTGTTGTGTTTAAACACTAGAATTCCGTGCAAAAACCAAATTAAAAAATGCAATTGAAAAAAGTGAGGCACACTGTCCATTTACAAAAAAAGGCACAATTTTGTAAGCTACAAATTGCAATATGATTCATAGCCCCTTTTCTGAGCTTCCTCCACTTTAGTATATATACAGACTCATTTCTGATCTATTTTAGACCCAAAGATATCTGCTGTTCTTTGGCTTTTAATGGCATTTAAGAATGTTTTAGTGATTTTTTTTGGTAGCAATTAGATCCATTACTATTTTATTTTGTGGTTCTATTGGTTTTCATTCGTACTGAATGCATAAGCTGCCCTTGTATTTGTAGAATTCTTCTTCTATATCCACTTCCAATCTTCCTTAAGTAACCTGCGCTGGACCAAGAAGGCTAGACAGGAATATAGGTAGTAAGTACAGATCCCACATTCCTTCCCGTACCCATCCTGGTTAACCCAAATGATATAAGCAAACAGAAAAACCACTTTGAAACTATGCAATTGTGTCTGAATGAAGAGTACATTTTTAAACAGCAATCTTCTTCTAATGAAAAGACAACGATATCCACAGCTGGTGATTTAGAAGCCATCATAAAAATATGTCTGAAGCATCTTTGTCTTTGTAAGCTGCCCAGAGTCCTCTATTGTGGGGGAGATGGGCGGGGGAGAAATCCAATAAATAAATAAAATAAATAAATAAAAATCTACCTTTGTACTGATGAAGATTGGTGAGGTTGTCCTGATAGGTCAGAATAATTGTTTGGTACTGAGTGACTATTTGCCGACGAAGACTTTCCCAGCAGGGGGACAGCTCTCCTAGTTCTTCAAGTTCACAAATCCTACCAAAACGTCCAAAGAGAAATGAAATGTTATTAGACCAGTTGTATACTAAACTAAAAACAATATGTCTTTCTCATCTATTTAAAGCCTACCTACTCAAACCTACCTTCTCAAGCTACTTAAGCAACTTATTTTAACTAGTATACTTCTTTAGTTTTTTGAGGCATATGTCAAGCCTGGTTATTCTCATACATTTTTTTTTTCATAAAGCACTCTGTCTTTCTCCATGTAAGGTCAAATATTAACTGTGTTCATATCTTAACTGTTTAAATATCCCATTTTCCAGTATTAAGTGGGACTGACAGATACTAAGTGGGATTTGATTTCTGACAAGGCTCCCATACTGTTAACAGTTTTAGAACAGAAAGAAATTAGTCAAGGAAAATTTTCCAAACATGGAGATACGGTGATGGAAGAAGGTGCGTCTGCCTTGTTTTCATTTCTTGTGTATCTGAAAATTGGTCTATCTCCATTTGTAAATACTGAATAGCAGTAAATTCAGTAAAACCCTCAGAGGAACTGGCAATATCTCTGACTTCAGTGAGGAGATGTAAGTGTATAGTTCTCTGTTTCTAAATACCTGAAGTAGAATTAGGCCTCAAAGCATTTATAGGGTTTTCAAATTACGTTCTCACAGTTCCAAACATGTGCTCACAAGCCAAATAAAAAACAATGCAGTATTTCTTACAAATGTGCTTCTTTTACAAAGTAAGTAGTATCATAACTATTACTTTCCAGTGTAAACACAGATAATAGAGGCACAGGTAATAACATAACTAGTAGTATCACAACTATTTAATAGAAAAAAACAAGGCTACACAAAAATGCAACACGTATCTCCCAATACATGGTTTGTGCTTGTTCATTTATTTATTAATCATATTATATGGCCGGCCAACTCATGCATCTCTTTTGCACCATCTCACAAAAATCTGAAAAGTCAGAATTTTGATACACAAGTGTGTTCCAGGTCAAATACAGCTTTGAAAAGCTCAGATTGGGTAGCTTCATATAAAAATGAAGAACAAATGGACCCCCCCCCATCTATTTCACTAGTGTAACACATTCACTGTTACTGTAACTCTTATATCTTAATTACACAGCATTCTATTTGCTTATTTTAAAACACTTCTGTTGAATGATTCACAGTGATCAAAATTACCAGCTGACAGCTCATGTATAAATTACTAGTTATAACATAAGCATATGGGACCGAATGGAGAATTGTGGTGCGGACATCATACCACAATTTATAGCTCTGCAGTGGCATAATGAACTAATATAGTACACTACACTGCCAGAAAAGCAGAAGATAACATTGGGCTTATTTCTTCAGCTCTTGGCCTGCTTCTTCAAAACACTTTGTTGATTTCCCAGCCTGCCTTCCTATTTCTGCTTTTTTTCTCACAGAGAAGAAATTAGAGAAAATATGAGCAGCCAGTTGTGCCTTGTCCCTTCCCCTTCCCCCAAAACTTCTCATTCTAAATTAATGCATGTAACCCACCTCCTCTTCTATGTAGGCAACTTTTTCCCCCATAGGACAGCAATAGTTGGGAAGAACCCAGAGCCATGATTACCATGGCTGGAAGAGTCTGGTGGAAATGTGACTTGAGTCAAATGTACACTGGAAATGGCTTGCAAATCCAACAGATTGCAACATGAATGCAATTTCTAAAACTTAGGAATTCAATGGCAATTTGCCTGTTGAATTGCCTGTTGGCAATTCCAAATCCAAAACATTGTGGACTGAGAATACAAGTTCAGTGTAAAGAAATGAAAAATGTCACTTTTTACTGATGCAATTTCATTAAGTTCAACCATGCCGTTCTCTTCCAAACTAATCTCTCCCATTTTCTTTAATTTTTCTTGACATTCAATGCATAGGAATTTGGAAATACCAGATGTACCAGATATAGAAAATTTTGCAATATACAGTGGTACCTTGGGATACGAACGCCTCTACTAACGAACATTTCGGGTTACGACCAGCTTCGGCA